GAATAGGAAAAGAAATATGAACTTTTCAATTTTTCTTCTTTCCCTCTTGAAAAGAGCTATAATAATAAATTTGCATGTGCATGCCACACTGTTCATCATTCTTATTTATTTGAACCCAATACTCCCAACTAACAAAAAAAAAAATAACACAGAGGTTGTCTTTTTCAGAGCTAGGTATGCTTTTTCCATCTATGGATCTCTTTACAACTAATATTGTACATGTTTAAAGAAGAAAAGTTTGGTGTGAAGGTTGAGACCCACTATGATTAGTATTAGGTTAGGTTGAACATTGAATCATATTAGCACCTTCATAACTCTATGTTTCTTAACCAAAATATATCCACACCATCATCATAACTACTAATCACAATGCTTATGCTAATAAAGGATATTGATGGACCCTAATCAATGCCAAATCCCACTTACCCAGAACAACAACCTTATACCCACTAATTACTATTACAGTTCAGGGATGCTACTATTTACAATTAGTATATCTTTTTAATTAGACTTTCAAAAACATTTCTTAGAATAATTAATCTTGATTGAAATATAAATTAGTCCTGATTATTTGTCCTGTTAACATCTTTTGAAGACTTGAATTGAAGCAATTAATAGTTTTAGAGTTGGTGCCGACAAACATAGAGCTTTGTCACAAGAAAAGCAAAGTGTGTAGTAAATCTGTGAGCACTGTAACTTTTGCATTGTAATGTCCTGGTCACGTGACCTTTTAATTCAATGTTACGTCTGAATGTCACTCATTACATATCATCATTAATCGTTCTATCATTTAAGAACTTTTTTTCTTTTTAAAAAGAAAATTCTATTCTCCTTTTCCCCTTTATAAGAAAAAAAAAATATACAGTTAATTTCTAACATATATTAATTCTTGGTTTTTCTCTTTGTAGAATAATTATTGATGTATTTCCATGTCTTTTGTTATTTAAATTTATTTTTCAAAAGTTTATTTATGTTTGGTGTTCTATTAGTAAGTTTTTATATAGTTGTATAGTTTTCATGATTTATTATTAATTTTGTTCTTAATTAATTGTGTATTGCTTTTTCTATGTTTAATAAGCTCCAACTCCTAATTGATTGCATTGTTTTTCTTAATTCATAAAATTATTAAAAAAACTAAAGAAATTTGTAAAAGTTTGTTTCAATAAAAGATATTAAACAATTTACAATAAAAAATTAGCAAACTAGAGAGATGATACAAGATTAGTCTATTTAACCATAAGAATCTTAGGATTGTTTTTAATGACAAGATTTCTTGTTCCTCTCACTACATAACTCATTCTATTCTACACGAGTCTTTAATGAGTATTAAAATATTAAGATAAACCTCCAAAGTCCTTACATAAATGCATACGTTAAATAAATGCCACCATATAATCTCTTAACAAGGTTCTTTGAATTACGTCAAACTTATACTTTCATCTACAAACATGATTCCGTCAAATTTTAAACACTAAACAATCAATTATATTTGTATTCATCCATACTAAGTAATATCATGTTCGTGATCAATTATAATTATCATATAATTCCATACATGCTCATATTCATTTACAAGTTCATCATCATAACAGTTTCATATATCATTATACACATGCATATTCATCAATGAATCAATCAAAAATTCTATAAACAACCATATACCTTCTCTTATTCTAATATCAAACTAAAACCACAAATAAGAAATGGTTTTCACAAAAAAGAAACCTAAAATAGGACAAACATAAGAAACTAACTTTTCTAATCAAAAGATCTCACTGGTAAAAGTAATATTCATGTGTTTAGGACTTGTCAAAACTTCAACTCGATTTAACGGTTAACGAAGCGAAAATCCCATTTTTTCCAAGATGATGTAGACCAAAAAATCAGGGTGACACCCAACGTTGGAAAAGTGGTGCCCAACGCTACAAATCCCTGAAACCCACGTATTTAAGTGTGTCTAACAGTCCAAAAGTGGTGCCCAATGCCCCTAAGTTAGTCGTCATTGTCTAAATGGTGCTCAATGGCACTACAACGGCACCTAGTGGTATCAGAAAACTAAGACTTTGCATTTTGAGTTTGATTCGAGTAATTTGACACTTTTTGAGCCAATTCTCATTGTTTAAACATCAATTATTATAAGTTTCGTGTTCCTTAGCTCAACCAGTGTCCTATTACCTAATTCAAATCTCACAAACGCATTTTCAACAACTCATCAATCAATTTTAAGCTTTTCACAAACTTAATTCACATTAATCATTATTTTGTACAGATTCATAAATAATTTAAGTGAAAATAGATTTCAAGTAATTCAAATTAATTTAATAAATTTTGCATTCAACCTAATTTAATAGATTTCACATTCAACCTAATTTAAGTGAAAACCAACCTTTTAAGTAGACTAAGCATGCAATTTCAAATTTAGAATACGACTTATCTTTTAACACGTCAAAACAAAATTTCATAAGAAATTAGTTAAGTTAGCTTCCTTCACCTTAAGAACAACCTCAAAACAAATTGACGACACTCACACAGACCTTTCGACTCACTAAAGCTTAAACTCAACCTGGAGATAACGTAAAAAAAAATCAAACCGAAAAGGACCACCGATTAACAAAGAACGAAAACAAAGACTTTAGGAGCACATGTTATCAATAAGGATCGCTTGCAAAGCCAAAAACAAATTGGACGTCAAAGGAGAACGAAATTGTTTACTTACCTAAATGGAGATTTTGTTTGATTAAACTTGAAGAGTTTTCTGCGACGAATACAACCCCAACCTTTGATCACGATGAAGATGAAATTTTGAGTGAGAAAACTGAGGCAAAAGAGTAAGGCTGTAGAGAGAAAGAGTTGGAGAAGAGAAGATATGCATTCCTGTTTTTCTAAAACAACGAGATTTTTTATTCCTTAAAAAAATGTTTTGCATTTTAAAAGGATTTTATAGGTTTTGTTATATTCTTAATATTAATTCAAAATTTCAACTAAATCATTCAATTAGACTTTAATTACAAACCAATTATATATTTTGTTATTAATAAGGAATATTATTTTACATATTAATAATTTTTAGTTTATAAAATGATGTCTAGTCAATACTGAATAATTATTTTATATCTTTAAATTTGATTGATATTTAATAATTTTTTTGTAGTGTATATTTTATAGTTAATTGTTTTTATTTTAATATGAGAAAAGAACGAAAAAATGAATGGTCGAATAATGTATTTAAGAATTTTGGATTCTTTTTTGCCCGTATTTGTCTAATAGAGTTTAACAAACTGAAGTTTATACTAAACAAACACATTTTCACAAAAGCTCCTTGTTAGATTAGTTATAGATTAATAACAAAGATTAAAATTGACACAAATTTACACAAGGTATATATTGGTTTGTCTAACAACCCAAACTATCTTTAGTTCTTAATCAAGACAATGAAGGTTCTACAACATACTTATATTACGATATATAAAGCAACTATTATTTTTAAACTAAGGTACTTCTAGTTAACCACCATGTATTATTTGAACAAAGTCACTACTTGCTAAACATGAAGTATTATTTGGACTTAACCACAAAGTATTGTTTTAAAAACAATTATTATTGGCTAAGATCAACTATGGTTTAAAACACAACCACTCCTAACTAAGATTAAATATTTGTTGTACACAACCACTTTTGACTGAACATAAGTATTATTTAGGCATAATTACTCTTAGTTAAACACTTTCTTAAATAAAGAATGCTATCTAAAAGATCAGGAGATTTTGTCCACTAAAAGAGATAAGTATCGTGAGACAAATACAAGATGATACATGTTTCTGCTGAAATGGGACGAAGAACTCCGCCGAACGTCCTCCTATCGCTGTCGAGGTGACGCTCAAATCAAAAATTTTCTCTATAGGCCTTTAATAATTTAGTAGTGAGTACAACGTGAGTTTACTTCGAATCTAAACCCTTATTTATAGAGTTTAAAGGAATCTGATCAATTAATTTACCTCTTAATGATCATTAATGCAAACCTTAAGTGTTTAACGGTAGCTGTTATTTCTGCATTAACTCTACTCAACGGTTGTCGGTACCGAATGACTGAGAGGATCTTTCCTGCACGTTGATGGTTCGATTTCATAGAGTCGTGTGTCGTCTTAACCGATCGATAGTATATAAGCTCAAAATGAGATAGATATTTTCCTACACCTTTATCAGTCGGTCGGAAATAACCCATAGTAACAATAAACATTATTTTAGAAAATTATGAACACAAATAATATTCTTTCTCATGAATAAAAGAAAATTTAATTAATTAAATAAATCAAATTCAAATTTAACAAAATTGACATTAAGTGGTATAAATCTTTAATTTCTTTTTTAGTACATGAAACAACTTGTCTACAAAAAATGATGACAGATATTTTATTTATCTTTGTTATTTATATATTAATTGTGATAATATGTAGATTGAATTTTCTCCAGAACTTAAATTGACTTTTGAATTGTCAAGGATTTATTACTTTTTTTAAAAAATTATAAAAAATAATACCGTAAAGTTTCTAGCTTCACATTTTGTATGTTAAGTACAATTTTTTATATTATCGGATAGTTATCTAGTATTGAAATAATTACTAATTGCTATACTAACTAAGTTAAAAGTAAAAAATTTAAAACTAGAAATAAAATAAATGAGCTCCGTTTACTTTTAAATATCTTTCTTTCAACAGATGAAACTCAATTCTTCAAGTATGTTCCTTTTCAAAAATAGGATAACGTAAGGGTGAACACTTAAGTTGAATTTATTTCAAATTTAAAGAGTTTGATTCTTCTCAAATGCCTTAAGCGTTCTTCGTCAGTGTTAGCTGTTAAGAAACATTTACAAACTTCAGAAAAGCTCATCTTCATTCAACATCTTCCATAATTTTACCTATTAAAGTCAAAACTTAATTAAAGTCACGTTGAATATCTTATCAATTACTATAACTTTTACATTTTAACATTTTTATTTATTTTTCCCGTATCATTTTAACGGTCGCTTTAGCGGCGGAAACAGTGAAGAAACGCCGTTCCCATTCCCTGCATTATTATTTTCCCCCTGACAGTTAAAAAGCCAAGAAGGCGTGGTCACATTGAATGTGCGTCCATACCGCGAAACCAACCGTCACCGGCGCTCCGGCAATGTGGCCGGAAACCGAATAATCGCCGCCGTTCCTCATCCAATTCTGGCCACAAGTTGAACACAAGATTCAACAATGGCTCACGCCACAAAGCAAACGCAGAACACAAAGCAGAGGGTCCTCACGTGCTTGACGAAGCTCTCGGACCGCGATACACAGGCTGCAGGAGCCACCGAACTCGAGTCCATCGCTCGTAGCCTGGACCCGCACTCTGTTCCCGTCTTCCTCTCCTGCATTCACTCCACCGACGCCTCCGACAAAACCCCTGTCCGCAAACAATGTGTGCACATCGTGGCAACGCTCTCCCACGCGCACGGCGACGCGCTCTCGCCTTTCCTCTCCAGAATCCTAACCAACCTCGTGCGCCGCCTCCGCGATCCCGACTCCTCCGTGCGGGCCGCCTGCGTCGACTCTGTCGGCGCGCTGTCGGCGCGTGTCACTCGGCAGCCGTTCTCCTCCTTCCTGAAGCCGCTGGCGGAGGCGCTCTTCACAGAGCAGGACCCCAACTCGCAGGCAACCGCCGCGCTCTGTCTCGCCTCCGCCGTCGACGGGGCTCCGGATCCGGACCCCGCCAGGCTTGCCAGGCTGCTTCCGAGGTTTGAGAAGCTCCTCAAAAGTAAGGTGTTCAGGGCCAAACCCGCGCTGCTGGCGCTCGTCGGAAGTGTTGTGGAGGCGGGCGGGGCGTCGAGTCGCAGCTCCTTGAGGAATTTGGTTCCCTGCCTTGTGGAGGCGCTTGGCAGCATGGACTGGGCCACGAGGAAGGGCGCGGCGGAGGCGTTGAGGAGACTCGCCGTCGCAGAGAGGGACCTCTTGTCGGAGTTCAAGGGTGGATGTTTCAGAGCGCTCGAGGATCGGCGATTTGATAAGGTTCATTTGAAGATTTTCAATATTTTCCTCGTTTGTTCTTTGTCTATTTATGGTAATTTGAAAGGAGGTTTTAAATTGAAGCTGTGTTTAGCGCCAATCATGTGGATAAGCTAGCGCGACATTGTTTCAGTTTAATCAGTGATCCTAGTGATCTTATTCGGCTCGCTCAGATTGTCATCTGTGAAGATGTTTGTTGTCTCTTAAAAAAAATTGAAGTTGTGTTTGTGTTGCGGTTACTGAAATCGTGAGCACACGCGTTTGTTCTGATCATGTCATGATGTTGTGAGTTCTGGAATGTTGTTTGAAAGTAAATTGAGTTCTTGTGTTGTTTGTGTGCAGGTAAAGTTGGTTCGGGAAGTTGTGAATCAGATGTTGGAGGCGTGGAAGCAGATTCCTGATGTCTCGGATGAGTTCTCTCCACCTCCTCATTCTCAGTCTTCTGCTAAAGGTATTGTGGTTGATGTAGGTCATTTGTCTAAAAGATCATTTGTAGATTTTCTTGGCCATTATTGTTTTTGTCGTGCGTTTCTGATTTTGGGCTGTCTTTTTGATTCAGAGAATGCAAGTGATGGGCGCTATCCTCCTGTCTCTCAAAATTCATGTAGTCCGGGTTCTGTTATGAGTAAGTTGAGGAAGAAATCAAGCCCAATTAGCAAATCAACTCCACCGGATAGATCTCTTGCCAGAAACGCTAAAAGGTTGAGTGCCTTAAGTGGTGACCGGATGAATTCGGGTGTTTTGCAGAAACTGAACCATAACCATTGGGATGTTAGAATTGCTGTGTCAAATCTTCCTGATCATGGTGAATGTCAGCCGAGGGATGAAAATGTATTGGAAAGCAGCAAAAAGGATAAAAGCAGATTTTTCAAGTCAGAAACAAAACGGGCTCTATTTGAGAAAAATTCTGATGACAAGATGCATAAATTTGGTGGGTCGAAAGCTGGATCTCGTGTGGTTCCTTGTTCAGAAGAGAATCAAGACTCAGATCTTGCCTGTAATGTAGCGAAGGATCTTCCTAGGAATGATAAAGAGAGTGAGGAATTATCTTCTATTCGTGCCCAGTTAGTTCAAATTGAGAAGCAGCAGTCAAATCTGTTTGATCTTCTACAGGTTTGTTCATATGCTTAAAAGCACTTTCCCACTAGCAAAGTTTTTAGATCTGTTCAGGTCAACTGAAGTTTGCAATTTTATTGGAAAAAAAAATGCTTACTGGTTATTATCCATGCCGTGTTTTAAAATTTCTCCTTTTTTTGAATGTATATGTATATGTAGAATGTGTTGAAGGACGAGCATGTCTGACAATATCCACCATATTTTTACAGAAATTCATTGGGAGCTCTGAAAATGGAATGCGTTCTTTAGAGACTCGTGTGCATGGCCTCGAGTTGGCATTGGATGATATATCTTATGATTTGGCTGTAACTAGTGGAAGGATAACTAAATCTGATGCTCCCAAGAATACATGCTGTCTGCTACCTGGTGCCGAATTTTTAAGCTCCAAATTCTGGAAGAAAACACAGATCAGGTATTCATCCAACCGGTTCTCTAGAACTGGTAGCACTCCATTACTAGCTTCCAGTAATTACAGAGATAATAGGAACACAGAATCTAGTACGGCAAGCCACAGGTTTAGGGTCCGTGGTGATGGAAGTTTCATCACAAATCCCCTGGCAGAGATTAAAATTAATTCAAGGGAAATTTCGGGCTCTGCAAGATCAGAGCTAGCTTGAAAAGCAGGTTAGCTTTCTAAATTCAATAGTTTGTAGTCACCATTGACAATGCGTGGGTGTTAAGAAATGCTAGATCCCTTCCTCGTATGCTTTTGCATAAATTTTATTAATCCATCACAATTTGGCCAACACACTTGGGTCCATGGATGAAAAAGTCAAATTTACTATTAAAATAAGATTACAAGATGTTTGCAGGGAACTTTCATTTTTCTCAATGTACAGCTATATCATTTCCTCAATGTACAATCACCCTCCCGCTATCCTTGGGTCTGAACATCTTGTGAAGGTCTAGTTACTTCCTTTAGAACTGAGATGCCAAATTTAGAGGAATCGCCAATATACATCTTCTTGATTCTCTTTGTCAAGTGGCACACCATAACTACTTGTCATTCGCCATAAAATGGCAGGAATGCTGAAACTAAGTAAACAAGCTACAGATTTAGGGTATGTGATGATGGGGGCTTCATCACTAAACCTCAGATTAACAAAAACTCAGTGGGATTTCTTTCCTTTCGATAAGAAACTACTTAAAAAGTAGGTTTGCATGCTTCGTGTACCAATATATACCTCCATATACTAGACAATCTCTATGGCTTGGTATTGGAAAGAATCATAATTCATGTCTCCTATAGTCACATGCTTGGTAATTAAGAAAAAGCATTTCACGGGATATGTATATGGATCTCTTATAAGGGATTCTTTCCTTCTCATGAATGTTATGCTTCAAATCATTCAATATTAGGAAGAGAATTTATGTCTAATTTATCTTCATATAATCGGCTATTTAACCATCTTTCTGGTCAATTCTGGATTTCTTGTTTAACCAGTTACCATCTAATCTCTTATTTGAATCTAATCTACAAATTCTCCCTCATATCATCAGGTATTTTAATAATACCTATAATATTTGAATCTACATGTAAATAGGAAACTATCAATAACAATATTTAAATCAATTTATGGTTCAACTCATCAACTTCCAATTTTTGAATTCACCAAAAAATATTGCAATCTTTGAAATTGGTGACACTGGTTAATGTTCAAACCGTTTGCTTTTGGCATCTAAATATGTATTCTTTCGCTTTTCTTACTTTCTGGTAGATGTAAGTTTGATCTTCTGATTATCAACCTGCTGATGGAAAAATCCTTGCCCAAGAGAGGTATGTTAATGATGTAATGAGTATATATATTTTTATGTCAGGAAAATATCATATACGGAAAATACCCAGTAGTACAGTACTTTCTTGGAAGGAGAAGGTGGCTATCATGCGTTCTTCGTCTTGTTCAGAAATTTCATTTGGAATGGCACGATGATTATAGGGCTGGAACATATTGAAATGAGTATTACTATTTTCAGTGGAGAGTGAATACATAGGAGGAACAATGTCACAGGCTACTTTGTGTTTCCAAATACGTTTGAAAGACTATAATAAATCACACGTCAAACGGGTTAAAGATGCGAAAACTACAAGTATGAACTTCAACCCGGACATGTAAAACTGATGAGGGAGAATGTTAACAGAATTGACTTCATTTTTTGCTTTTGAAGGTAAGCAACTTAAGCTTCATAACTACACCGTTTTCTTAAATTTATTAGTTACTAAGTAGTTAGGTTAATTTACAAGTTCGTTTTTCTAAAAGCTTTTATAATGTCTAACTTATTATTTGGTTTATGATGTTAAGAACTTTTTGTATTCATCAATGTTAATTAAGTTTATAAAGTGATCGAGGAGTACAATAATTTTCTTTTATTTTATTTTATTTTTTTACTTTTTTTTTCGTATTAAAGGTTTTTTTAACAAACTTAGCATTATATCCAAGTCTGTCAGAAGGCTGATCGTGTTGATCTAATGTAAGGTATGGTTTTTTTCACCCATTTGGGACATTTTAATTAGTTATTATTAAATCGATATATTGATTACAATTTAAATAAAAAAAATTAAAGCTTTAAAATATAAAAATTATAAGAAAAGAATTACAAAAATAAATAAAATAAGACATGAATATTACTTAATTGAAAACATAAGGAAGAGAACAATCATTTATTAAAAATATGATGCAGATTAACATTCATTTAAAAATTATAAAATGTTATGTATATTTTAAAACTACAAAAAATTCACCTCCTCCCCCCTCTCAACAAACTCTCACTTTCAAACTTTTCTCCTCCTCACATTCGATTCTTCCAAATTCCTTTTTTTCTCCTGTTCTGGTTTTTTCCAATCCTTTTTCTCCATATTAGTTTTCATTTCATTCGTTCTTTCTTCTTCGTTTCGATCTCCTAGTTGTGCGATGGTGCTGCTGCGGTGGTGGTGCTTTGTGTGTGCGTCTACTGTGCACATGTCTGCTGCCTGTGCGTTTTCTATGTTTTCTATGTTTGGTAGGTGTGCGTTTGGTCTTGAACAGATGTTGATATCCGTTTACGGATATTGACATCCGTTTAATACCTACATTCTTCTCCAGCGAACCCACATCAGTTTATAGTGATAGGTTTATATATTCAAAAAACCTGTGAAGAACACGGATCACCTTCAACTACAAGAACCTTCTTGCACCTTTTTTTTTTCACCATTCCAAAGCATTTTTGCTACTTCTTCTAATTACTAGAGAATCTACTTCAATAAATGCTATCTCCAACTAAACACACCATAATATCCCACCCTACTACACCATCACATTTAGAGGGAAAAAAAATCCAAAGGAATTTCATTCAATGGAATCAGTGGAGTGTTGTGGAGGTGCATTGATATAGGGACATTAACAAAAGTAGATGATTGTTGGGTAAAAAAATAAAAACAAATTAAATATTACCGAGAGCAACAAGGGAATGGGAAGGTGGAGGAAGTGATACTTGGTGGTGGAGGGAGCCAACTCCCGGAATTCATTCGTGTTGGATACTAGATCATGTTCATTAGCAGGCCTTTAATTTCATAAGGGATTTTAGTGATTATATATTTTTCATTTCTTTCTGCACCTTTAGAATTTCATAATCTCAACCTTCATCTCCATAAATTTTGATATTTCACAATAAACAATTTAAAATATTAAACTTTGAATTCTAAGTTATACATCTCATAACACAAAATAAAAAATGTATTTTAGATTGTATAATTCAAAATATAATTTAGAATATATTTTTATTTTTTATTTTAAAATATACAATCTAAAATACAATTTTTTATATTTCAAATTGTGTTCTGGAATATAATTTTTTTTATTTTTAATATTTCAAAATACAAAAATAAAAAATATATTCTGAAATATAAAATTTATATTCCAAATTGTATAATTTGGAACAATGCAGGAGGAAGAAATTATAATGGTGCAACTAACTGTCTTGTATATTTGACATTCCCTAAAGCCCATTTTAAAGTGAACTATTGAATGAATAAGTTTGTTAAGAATGTAAGACGAATAATTGGGTGATTAAAAATATTTAGATGAAAAGAAAAAGATTGTTTTTTTAACTCCTCAAATATTTTAACCTTTGGGATTCCTATTGCTCCTCATTGATGGGTAACTTTTTCTCTCTTGGATTCCTATATTTCCATTATAAATTTTGATCAACAAAAAAAAAAACATGTTTAAGTAAGAAATGTATATGATTTAAGAATGATATTTGCAATATATGTCCTTTCCTTTGGCATTAAGAAAGGGCTTTAGCTTTGAGATTTATCAACTTTTTAAAAGATAGAAGAGAGTGTGCTATGTTAGCATATGATTTGATTAGAATTAATAAAAAATATATATTGAGTGTGGCTAACGAAGCTTGAGAGAAGATACTCTGTAATTCAATGTGAATCATCCATTAACATCAACATGCATGATTCTCATTTCTCACCAATCACGCCCATGTCACATCACAATTCTTTGCAAGGATAATCAACCAATTATGCTATCAGAAATTAAACAAATCATTAGATATCAATGACAAATAACATCTTTAATCATTGAGATTATTTTGATGTTGATAGATAATATTTAGATTCATGAGAAAGTATTAGGTATAATTTTTTACTAAAATTAGTGATTGACAAAGTGGAGGAAATTTCTATGCGAATAATATTATTACAAAAGTATTAGGTATAATTTTCTTAAGAATTATGAAAGCATTGAATATATATATATATATAGGAATAAATATCCTGGTTGAAGTCAAGAATTGTGACGGATTGAATAATGAACCTATAAAGGCTTATCTATGGATCATCTTCCATTCCCAATAGTTCCCTACCACTAAGCCACTAATACATTAATCACTCATCATTTCCCACTTCATCAAAAGAGATATAACTATATAAACATATACTCTTCCTTCTCATCAAAACATCATAGTGCTTATAAAGCCATTCCTCCACACACTTACAACATTTTCCAATCATCTACTAACATTTTATTTTAAAATAAACTTTTAAATTTAATTCAATCTTATAAAATTAATATCCAAGATTAAGTTTGTATTCATTTATATATTTTGAATTTTTCTTTATTGGACATCTCTAACCATTTTTTTAATACTTCAATTAACATTTACTTATGTTCATCTATTTTTTGTTTAAACATTTCTGGAAGCTATAAATTAATGTATAATATTTGAAATGAGTTCGACTTGAAAACTGTTCAGATTTAGATTTATCTCAAAACTTAAAATAATATATGTTTAAATGATCTGAATTTTAACATACATAATTATAAAATAATATCATATAGTTGAATGATTATAAATTTGTCAAATTTGTACACTATAAAAAAATATACTACTAATAGACTATTCTGTGTGCAGATTCTTTTTCAGGAAATTAGATTCGTTCGGCATACTTTTCTGGATAAAAAGTTTCTTCTAGATTTCAAAATCAACAAGTCTTTCTGTGAAGTTTTTCCGAAAAATACATTTTATATATTCGTAGAAAATGTGCTTAGATGAAAGAGTACTTTAACGAATCAGTTATCCAAAATTCAAAGAAAACTTTTGTGGGTAATTGTTTTTGTAAATTTCAAAGTATATATATGTTTTTTAATGTGCTAAAATCCAGAATGACCAATAATTCTTTTATCATTCAGCATTGCAATTTACCAGCTGCATGTCTCTTTAAGCCAACAGTGTAAGCTGGTTCATACAAAAATAATGGCAAATTCTCGGTGTTATTTGTCTTTATATATTGTTTACCTCACTCATGAACTTAAAGCCCCAGTTTGTAACCCCACACTTTTATTTCTCATACAATCATTTCTATAACAAAATACAACTAAGAAACTTCTATCATTACAAAAATTAGGTTTAAACTCGGTTGGTCCTCATATTTGTTGGTGAATCTCAAGTGGATCATCGTTTTTTTTTCTGTCTCAATTGAGTCTATATACTTGTAAAATTGAGTCAATTAAGTCATTTCCGTTAAGTTTTCATTGACAGCGTCTAACTGTGCTGAGCTATATTTTTTTTACATAGTGTGGCATTGTGTATTAAATTGAATGAGTGATATGTTGTACAATCAACAATTCCACGTTGATGTGTTAAATTTTTATATTTTTCCTTACCCAAATGACTAAACCAATCCTTAAAATGCCTCCACAGGTTCCTCAACTAAACAAACCCAACAAGTTTTACTTCTTCTACGGCCACCGAAAACCCTCCCAGAATCGCCCCACCGGCCGCGACGACCTCTTCTCCAGCCACCACCCACCACCGTTGCTGCTCAATCACGAAACCCATTCTCCTTGCTCCGGTAGTCGTTTCCCGCCGTGATTGTTATTACCCTTACCGGGCACTGGTT